GCCACGCGGGCACCTCTAGGAAGATGAAGTCCTTTTGGGCTGCAGATGATTTAGGAAGGTTCTTCCTAAAGGAGGTGGGTATTGGGATAAGCTAGGAAGGAATGTAGAGAGCCTTAAAAGGCAGTGGTGGAAGTAAGTTTGTAGTGATGGAAATGTGCAGTTCATCTTTGGACTTTGTAGTAGATCAGTTGCTCACAGAAGAGGATAGAAACCAGGGCCAGACTGAAAGGTCTTTCCTACTAGACTAAGGATTCTGTATATGCAAGTGATGGGGACTCACTGACTATTTTTGAGCAAGGGGTTGATAGGATTTTAAAAGTATCTAGGAAGATTGGGGCACCTGGGTGGCTCAGTCGGTTAAGTACCCGACTCTTGGTTTTGGCTCAGTTGTGATCTCAGGGCTTGAGCTCAAGTCCCATGTTGGGCTCCCCGCTCAGCAGGGAGTCTGGGACTATCCCTTTCCCTCTGCCCCTCCTACTCATGCTCTCTCTAAAATACGTAAATCTTAAAAAAAAAAAAAAAGTACTTAGGAAGATTAATTTAGTCATGAAAGGCAGAATAGATTGATGTACAGAAGATACAAAAAGTAAAGACACCAATTAGGGAGATTGTTTTTTGAAGTAGTTAATGCTTAAACCTGAGGGTGGTAATGAAGATGAAATTGATGCTTTATTAAAACATGAAGATCTTTAGTCTGCCTTTTGATGTTATTGCTACATATATGCCTCTAGGTATTTAAAGAAAAACTATGTAACCTAAGCTTTTAGTCAAAGTAAATACTGTATTTCAAGAAAAACAAAGCAAATTTGTTTTGTCTGTCTGTACTGATACCATTCAGCTTTTAACAGGAACAGTGGAAACCTCTATGAATCTTAAGTATTAGTATCCTTTTTCAAAGGTTTTAAAAAATTTAACTCAAGTGTAGTGCCATTTTATTGTAAGCAGCAACTTATAAAGAAATGCAGCAAGTGATAAATACAAAGTTAAGTGCCAGAAATATATATTCTTTAGATTTTATATTTGTGTTTTTCTATTTCTTTGTCAATTTTAGAATATGCCTATTTAAGTAATAACACCAAAACTTCTAAATACAAATTTTAAATGTGATTTCATAACTTTTCAAAAATTGAGCTTTTCACTGATTTTCCTAAATTTATTACTTACATGAACTTATATCTTATTTAAATGAATGAAACTGTTTACTCCATATTGTCTAAATTGAGAGACCCAACTTTATAATAAAGCAGAGCATTTGAAATAGACTTTTTTCAGAAAAATTGATTTTGATATTACTTGTAAGATTTTATCACTTTTCCCTCTTCCTTTAATAATCTCTTCCATAGACCAAACACTAAGATACTCTTTCCTACTGTGGATAGAAATACATTGTATTAGTAAGGATACAAGCTGAGCTGCCATTAACAAAGAGAACCCTAAATTCTCAGTGTTCCAAACAAGGTTAGAATTTTATTCATCTCTCTCATTTAACAGTTGAGAGGTAGGCAGATGGTCAAGATTGAGTTGGGAGCTCTGTTCCACAGGGTCATCTAAGAATCCATGTTTATTTTGTTTCTCAATCATCCAGCCTGGCTGCATTGTTAAGTACATAGGTCTTAGCCATATGTGGCTATTGACATTGACATTTATATTTAAATTACATTAACAATTCATGGTCCATACCAGCTGTATTTTAAGTTCTTCATAGCCACACATGGCCATGGTTACTATTTTGGACAGTGCAGAGAGAGACCACCTCCATCACTGCAGAAGGTTCTGTTGGTCGGAGCTGCTCTGAGTGTTGTGCTTGTCTGCATGGTCTTTGCTGGCTCTCATTGGCCCAAGTTTTAGTCTGTAGGTAGGGAAGATGAGAGGGGTGTGGGGAGAAGGCACAGTTCTGTTATAAATGATTCAAGAGATGCACATATCCCTGCTGCTTACAGTTCTTTGACCAAGATTTATTGATATGCTGACACCCAAGGGCAGCTGGAAGGGTTGTTAGCTGAGTGGAATGTACCCTGCTAAAATTTGGTTTAGTTAGGGGTGCTGTGGAGGCAGGGATCCTGTTACCAAAAGGAAGGAGGTGAGAATAGATAGCAGAGGACATTTTGCAATCTAGGTCAGGTGTACCAAAGTGTTAATAATTACAGTAAGATTTCTTCCTGTCCCTCATACAAAGTAGACAGGGAGTCAGCATGGGTAAAATGTTTAATTTTAAATGACTGTGCTAAGATTAACCCATAATTATACATTTTTTTTTAAAGATTTTATTTATTTATTAGAGAGAGAGAATGAGAGGGGGAGAAGGTCAGGGGAAGAAGCAGACGCCCCATTGAGCTGGAAGCCTGATGTGGGACTCGATCCAGGGACTCCAGGATCATGACCTGGGCCGAAGGCAGTCGCTTAACCAACTGAGCCACCCAGGTGCCCTAATTATACATTTTTTGCTGCTTTATTTGAATTAGTTCTTAAAAGTTCAAGATTAACATTATGATCATTTTGACTGCAAGGCCATATTTGGAGCATGACAGTGTTTATCTCTAAGGTATTATTTCTGTCTTAAATATTGTGGGAAGATGATTTTTTTGTGTGATTGTGTAAAGACTAGAATTTTTATTTCTATCTTATAGGTGTTCAATAATTTCTAGTATATTGATGATGAGCAGAAATGTGAAGCATGAGAAGTACTAGGTGGTGACTTAGTCGTTCCTCCTCTCGCCATCCGTTCTTGCTTTCTGTGTGCATATTTATCTGACTCTTTTAGACAGACACTCTGAAATGTTCATGTGTACAACTTCGATATTTCTAAATAATACGGCTTTTTCAGTGTAACTTACCAGTCTTAGAAATTCTGTACTGATTACTATAATAAAAATGGATTCAGCTTGTATACCACCTTTTCTCTCCCTTCTTCACTATTATCCTTCTATTCACCTTAAAATTTCTTAAACTTCCTTCATGTTCCTTCAGTTAAAGATGTTATCTCTTCCTGTCAAATTAGCAATTACAAATTTTAGTGTTCCTAATTTTCCTCATATCTTTTCCCTTCTACCTCTCAATTTTTGTCATCTCTACTTTTTAAATTGCTGTGGTCAAATATATTTACATTAATATCTGTGGCTATAATTAAGTCTTTTAGCTTTTGTCTGTTGCTGGAGTCTAAAAATTGTGATTAGTAAGCAGTTCCATTTTTAATGACTACATAAATACTTTTCACTGAAAAGCTAGTGGTAGAGCAATTGCACTTTCATCATAGCTTTATTGTTTATAACTTAGTTTAAAACTTCTTCATCCCTTTTGGTTTCTTCTATTTTTTTATATTAATTTTGTCTTATATATAAGTCCTACCCTCTAGTCTATATATTCTACAGACTTTTTTGTCCACTATCTTTCTCTAGGAGTCTTCTTTCTTTTTCTTCTAATCTGTTTTGTTGGGACACCTGAGTGGCTCAATCGTTAAGTGTCTGCCTTCGGCTCAGGTCATGATCCCAGGGTCCTGGGATTGAGCCCTGCATCAGGCTCTCTGCTCAGCAGGGGGCCTGCTCTCCCACCCCCCACCCTCACCCCCCCACCTGCCTCTCTGCCTACTTGTGATCTCTGTCTGTCCAATAAATAAAACCTTTAAAGTCTTATGTTCTAAATTTTTGGGAGGAGAGGGATTTGAGATGTTTACAGATAGAGCTGTAGGAAAATGATTACATATATATATATATATGTGTGTGTGTGTGTGTGTGTGTGTATAAATATATATATATATAACCATTGCTATTTTAATGTAAATATTTTTTTCTAGAATAATTTTACTTTTTGTTTTCCAGGACTCTAGACTTTTCATAGTTTCTGATATAAATTTCTTCTCTTGACAAAGATTGTTTTGTTTTGCTTTTGATTCTACTATTGAAGATATATATCTTCTTCAGATTCAGATCTGTTTTTCATTACAAGCAGTGTTCACAGCTGTTGCCCAGCATTTCTTGAAATTGACCCATTTTAACCATTATATCTGGCCAGTGACTAAATGGCATATAGTGATGTTAAAAGAAATGTTTCCTAGGTTAGGAGGCTAATGTTAGTTCTGAACTCTAATGGTTCTCACCATCAGTCTGGGTGATAAGTTGTGCAATACTCTTAGGCTACTTTTTATCTTTACAAGAGAATAGTATTGTAAAAATGTCAAAAAATATCCACATGCCCAGTTCGCTAGTAAATATACTGCTAAATTTGAACCTTTTTGGCAGTAGCTTATGCTACTCAAGGGACCATATTTTTACAGAATGATATATTTCAAAGGGTATTGGTTTTCGTTGTAGAAAATTCATGCATTTAGAGCAACTTAAAGCCAAAAACAATTGTGCTGTGCTATAGGTTTAAAATTATTAGTCATTTTGAATACATGTCCAGGTTAAATGTCAGAAGCTATATATTGTATGGAAAGAAAATTTATTGTTAGCAGATTAGACTGTACCTGTGCTTATATAACATTTTCCTTAGAGGATCAATTGAGTATATGAACTAATATCAGCCAGATTTTTGTACACTAACATTATTGATAATAAAGGAGAAGTTCATTGAAGGGAAAAACAAATAAAGGAAGCATAAAAGTCTCATACTGTATGAAACTACAGAAATGGATCAAAGAGTTTGACAGGAAGTTTAATGTGTACATAAGCAGAGGCTGACAGCAACATGCTGTGTGTGCCAAAGGTTCCAGTGATGGAAAACTGAAACATAGTGCTCACTGACCACAGCATGAGCCTTGACACACATTGTAAATAATCCAGAGATCTATGACTGCATTAAGCACCAGGCTGGTGTATTAACGGCAGTAAATCTATAGCTGCATAAAGGGCTGGCATGCAGAAATTCCTCTGATTAATTTTTGTAATGGATTCATAGGAATACAGCAAATATTTTCATTTTGAATCCTACCATCCTCCAACTTCCCCTCCCCCCATCTTTGTCCTCCCTAGTATGATCATTTTTTATTTCCTTCTGTTCACCAGACTTGTATATGTGGATACTTGTCTGAGTACCATCAAGTTAAAAGCTGAAGATGCTTCTGGTAGAAAGCATCTAATAACTCTCAAGTTGAAGGCAAAGGTATGTGCTTCATTAAACTGTTATTATTTTCAGGAAATACTCTGTGAAATGAACTCTGAATGTTTTCAATGTAGGAAGTGCTAATAGCTTCTGAAAAGGTATCTGGCACTTTAAAAATTTTATTTTGGAAAGCTCAAAAAATTTACCCACTAGGTTTCCAAAAGCCTAGACATGATTTTGTGTCACTCTTTTACTGCAGATTTGCTCAAAATATAGACTTCATAGTGAAGAAATACTAGAAATAAGATTGGGCAGGATCAGAGTACCTTGATGTCCTTTTTGTAACATTGTACAAAGAAAAAATTTGAAAGTTTCCACTATCCCAAGTAAAGTTTCACTGAAGTCTCTTGTCTTCAACTTTTACTATGAACTACGCTCTCCAAACACATCCATATGTATACCTTTTTATTCCTTGTTTTGGCTAAAATTTTAATTCTGTATTTTAAGAACTTGCAAAGATTATGCCTCCATTTATAGACTTTACAGGCTAGGGATCTATAATTACTAATTCTGTTGGCACAAAACATAGCTGTCTTTATGTCTTTGTTTTAGTTCTAGGTTATGAATTTTGAGAAATAAGTAGAGTAAGCAAGTTCAGCATATTAATCATTTATTTAGTAATCACTAGGGACACATTAGAATTTGAGAAAACCCCGACATTTAACTTTTTTTATTGTTCCCGGGAATCATCAATCAACTCTGGTTCAGAAGATTGTAGTATGAAAAGATCAATTGTGTTTGTCCGTTTTAAAAATGTGTCTGGCATTTAAGCTTTCCATGAGAGAAAATTAATACATAAAGCTGAACTGGGTGACGCAGAAAAGTTGGTATCTTAGAGTGCCTCTTTATCAGACAATTTGAGAAATGACTCATTCTCTCTTTTTCTCACACACAGAATATTCAGGTATAATTTTAAGATTCATGTGTGATAAGTATTGAAAATATTAGTGGGATAGAAATTTATTTGTGAAAGAAGTTACATGGATATTTTTGTCAAAATGAATAAAAATTTATTTTTTAATTTTTAAAGGTGAGCTTTGTTTTTCCCCTTAAGATCGGGGAGAAATTTTCCTTTATTTCTCCAAAGATCACATGGGTTCTGTAATTTACTTCAGAGTTTTAATTGTTAATTAATTTAATATATAAAAATTGCTTTGCTGTTGTGAAGACCAAAATGAAAAATTTTAAATGCATTGTGTCTTGACTCGTGGTGGTGGTGGTGGTTTTTTTAATAGCCTTATTTTTACACCTTACCTTTACTAAGGAGATTCTCTGTCTAGAACTACATCTGTAAAATTTTATTATTCCAGTTAATGACTTTAGTTGGTAGTATCAAGAGGAAGGATGTAGCCATTAGAATGGCCCATCCTTTTTGCTTTTTCTTACACCTTTTCAGGGTAGATAAGATGACACTTAATATTTCTGTGAAGAATGTTTCTAAGTTTTTGCAGCATTGATAACTGTGAAGCACTATTATGGATTCCCTGGGAAGAGAGAAGAGAAAGCTTTATTTAAATTCAGAAGGAATTGAGAAAAAAATTTGTATCCAAAAAAAAAAAAAAAAGTGGAAATGAATGATTTTTATATTGGTATGATTTATTAGAATCTTTAATTGTATATGAGTTCAGGTTACATAGACCGAAGTTGTATTTTAGTTGTGGTAATTTCTTTCTTCTGGAATATTTAGGTCTGGGATTGTCAGTTAAAAACAGTGATAGCTGAAGCTATATGTTAAAAGTATATAGTGCAAAATCACAATTAAAACTAAATTTTAAAGGTCAAGCTGATCTTTTTTAAACCTTAATGCAGACTTGTTTTTATAAATATACAAACCTTTATTTCTTTTACTTGGTATTTTTTGATTTACAGTAAAGGAACACATTTGTTTCATTTTTTTTTTCCTGTTGAATACCTGTTCTCCCAATTCTGCCATTCCCCCTCACTGTCTCCAACCCTCAAAGAAAACAATGCCAATTTTAATTAAACAGTCCTTATTAAAAGTGAATATATAAGTCAAAAAGAAATATAATAAGGGAAATAGTTGAATTTTGTCATTTTTATTGGTGTATTCCTATGCAATACTTAAAGTACATGCTGAACTATGGGATGGAACTATTATCTTTTCTTTTTAAAAAAGGAGACCAGGGCTTCTTCAGCTTTGGGCAAGATCCAAGAACTACTTGAAAAACACAGATGTGTTTCAGAGGCTGGGCACTCTGTCTGCTGGCCGTTTTTGTAATTTGCTACAGTTTGTATGTGTTTACTTTAAGGAAGCCTTACTGCTTAGATGGTCCAACCACAGAAGAGATTGGGTTAAAATTTTCCTTAGAACAACGTTCTATACAATCTAAAAAATACCATATATGACAAAAATAGTTACTTAATATTGTATGACAATTGTATTCTTTTATAGTTATTGATTTGATGGGTTCTTTTAGGTGAGATTTGAAAAACTGTATGTTAATTAAGAACAAGAATTACTTATTTTTCAATTAATATTCCTTTATGTGGAGCTTTCATTGTTGTTAGTTGGACTACTAAAGTAAAACTTGGCAATTAGTCTCTGGTTTTTATATACCTATACAACTTACTACTGAAAACTACCTGAATTTTGATAGTACAATATTGCATTTAGTTATCTATGTTATAGTTTTATAATACAAAAGATTCTGAAATATCTAGGATGCTACTTAGTAATTGACGTTAAATCATCCAGAAGTATATCAGTTTTTTAATTAGGTTCTGTACAGTTATGTAAAGTTTATTGTATAAACAGAATTGATCTTGAACATGAATGTAATTAACATATATAATATATTTGCATTTAACTTACAGTAGATATACAGTAAAGCCACCTCTATAGATCAGTCTAATTTATTACATATTTGTATGTCTGTATAATTACACATAAAAATGTATTTGAATACATCATCTCAGAAATTGTGACTCATATATATGGGATCATATGGAATTTATAATCTGCTTTTTTGTTTAACTATTTGTAGGTTTGGTTTTTTTTTTAATCACTATATTGAGTCCTATTTGAATGTAGGAGATCATCTTCTCTTTTAAAATGTGCTGTATGTACTAAATGACTTCCAAAGTCACAGATATTTTTCTTTGTTCATCTACTCTAAATACAGTGAACATCTTAACTTCATACTCTTACCTAGATTGATGATTTAAGTTGATATTTTTCATTGTCAACATGAGTAGGAGATAAAAAGAAACTCAAAATGAAGTAAATACTCCATTTTTGACCACAGAGGTCTCAAGTGTGCATTATAATTTTTACAGAATCTTAACATGTTAGAAGGAAAAGAGACTTGATAACACTTTTGCTTGAGTTCCATCAATTTTACCTATCAAACAGCCGTTGAAGTTAAATGACTTATCCAAGATCACATAAGTTAGCAGAATTGGAAACCAGAGAAATTAAGGTCTCTGTCTGCACTTATTGAGATAATTACATGACTTGTAAAGTGGCTTACAGATTGTTTCTGTAGTGATTATAGCAGTTATACTCAGAAGTACATCATCTCATATTTTGAATTGTAATAGAGTTCCTTACTAAATCTCGGCTTGACCTTTTTTTTTCTCCAAATGAGAGCATTTTATATTTTTATTATTTCCTGTATATTTGCCTTTGTGTTATCAGTTCTGCATAGCCAGATAACCATCAGTCAGAGTATAAGTTGATAAATTTCTTTTTAGCGAATTGCTTACTATAACTAAATGTTAATTCTTTTCAAAACATTGACTTCAGATGGGCTAATGTTTGCTAAATACTATAGTGATAATTTTTGGAACCCATTTGCTTATTCGGCGAAGTAGTGAGAAATAAAAGGCTGAAGAAAGTGAAAGTCTAAAACTTATTTTAAGACTTTGTCGAATGAGAGCTAGGAGTTTTCCCAAATTAATTTTCTTTCGGTAAATTTTGTTTTTTAATGAAAATAAGTGAGTTTTCTTTAATTACATTTGACTTCCAGGAATCCAGAACTGGATTTTACAGAAGTCATGTAGTACAATTCTCTAATAACAAAATTGATTTTAAGAAAAACAGCCTTTTGTCTTTCTTAACTTAGACACCTAATTTATCCTTAATGACTATCACTTTTTGTATGAAGCTGTTGAATTAATTTTTTTTATTGACCATGAAAAGGTTTTTCTTAAAACTATTACTTTTTTCTTTTTGTTTATTTGCTAGGAGTAATTGCTTTATTGTGAAAAATACGTTTTTGTACACTTCTTGGCTCTTTTAACAGATAACTTTTTTTAAGTGGTGCCTGAGATGGAGATTAAATTTTAGATTGAAAGGAAATTAAATATTAGTCAGTTTGATCTCTCACTTTAAAGGTAAAGAAACTGAGATCCGTGTGTTTCACCCCTCAATTTACAGTTAGTAGCTGACCTGACACTGACTTAATTCATTATTCTTTACTCAAAACCTATTGCTTTGGCACCCCAAATCACCAAACTTTGTACCTCTTGAGCATAAGTTGACTTATTAGTCAGTTCTGGACATTTTCTACAATAATAGAATCAAAATATTAACATATAATACATTTGCATTTATAAGACTTTTCCTATTCAGTTTTTCTAAAATAGTTCATGTGAAGTTGTCACGACAGAAGCAGATATGACCTAATTTTATGCCTTTTCATAGTACCCAGCAGAATCTCCAGATTGTTTCGTGGATTTTCCTGTTTCATTTTCTATTTCCTGGACACCACAGGTGAGTTCTTAGATTTATTTTAAGTAGCTGAAAAGCATATTCTATTAAAACAATAGGTTATAGGTTACAACTATAGGTTATAAATATATATTTATATATAATAAATATAGGTTATAGGTTACATTTTAGGTTATAAAGTGATTTTTTTGGTTTTTATTGTTGTAAGCATTTATTTATAAACAGAACTTTCAGAGTGCTTTCTTTCCCTGTATTTCCTAGTAGTAAATGTCCAGTTTCTCCCTCCCCTCCCACATAAACACACCATCCAGTCTTTAGGTGTTTATGCCTCATAGTAGATAAAGATGAAGTTCTATTCACAGAAATTTAATTTTAATTTAAATCATAAGGAACTCTAAAGCAGTGAGCAGTAAGTAGAAAGTTGGGTGAATTTTTCAGATTGCTGAAACTGTTAATATTGATGGCATAATATCAGAGGATCTTTTTCAGGGAAGGAATATTGCCTGACAATACAAATCACTTGCACTGAGTTTTTATTGTTTTAAAGTGGTTGTCCGTAATTCATCCTTCAGCATAGGCTATATTTTTGTATGGGCTTTGGGACATTCGTACTTGTGTAAAGAATATAGGAAATTCTTTCTTCTGCTTCTATCAGCTTAATTTCTCAAAATGTTGATACCTAAGAAGAATATGAAATTAGAAGTACACTGTAAATGGTAACACAATGTAGATGTAAGGTTTTTAATTGTATGAACAGCAACATTATGTGTGTGTGATTTTTAAAGATCTGACAGAGTGCTGGTTAGATTCAGAGAACAATCTAGTCATGACAGGCATGGTCCTTCTTTCACCATGTAAATTGTGCCATTTGGTAGCAAAATGGAGAGAACATTTCTGTTCTCATCCAAAGAGCCGGGGGGAAATTCCTATTGACATTTTACAAATATTCTGTAGAGGCTACCTGTATTTTTGTTAGGAAATTTTGATGGGGTCAAGTGAAAATTTATGCCTAATTTTTAAAGTACATATATACAGTAATTGTGTATTAAGGTAGTTTTTAAAAAGACCTAACAGGATTTAAATAGTGTTGTGTAGGTTCAAATGTCATTTATTACATTAATGACATATATATATTAAAAGTTATTTTTTGTATATTTTTCTTTTAAAACAATCTCCCTCCTTTAAATGGAAACTGAGAAAATGCAGCAAAAGAAAAAAGAGAGGAAAACCCCTGTAATTTGCTTTTGATATTCTGATACAGGTTATAAAAATCTAAGAAACACTGTGTTCACTTTTAAATTTTTTTTAAAAGACACTTTTCCTCTTTTTTAAATATACATTTTCTGTTTGGCATTCCTCTTTTTAAAATAAACATTTTCCTCTTTTTAAAATATGAATTTCCTATTTGGCTCTGTAAACTTTGTTTTATGTGAGAATATGAGATAGGGCTGTACCTGGATTATATTATTCTTTCCAGATATGCTATCTCTAGATTAAATTTTAATATGTATCAGAATCCCAATTCAAAGACTGTATTTTTGACGAATTTGTAGTGTTTTTAACATAGATAAACATACAAGCTTTTCCAGCCTTAAATCTGTGAAAAAGTTTGCATCTCCACAAGAAGACTGTTTAGTGCTTACCTTATTCTGTCATTTAGCAAAATTATTTAGTGATTTCAACACACTGGGAAATCTTTGAGGGTAATTTCTTTCAAATTTGCTATCTGTATTTAACACCAGCTCAATGCCTTGCACATTTACGCATGGGATGAGTTTTAGATCTAGTTAGGTCATACAGCAAGTTTTCTGTTTTGTACTAGCTCCCAGAGAACAGAACCTAATTAGTAGTAACTGGAATGTTACTATTTTTTTTTTAAATTAAAGAATATACTAAGATTCTTAGTAAATCACAGATAAAAATTTGGATACCTTTTTATCCACAACTCAGATTTGACATGTTAATTTTTCGTCACATTCGTTTCATTTCTAGCTCTTATCTCTGTCTCTCTCAGGAATAAAATGTTCTACTAACAACTAAGATTTTATTCCTCTTTTCCCTTTCCTTCTCTCCCTTTCGAGGTAACCACACCTCTGAAATTGATGCATGTGCTACCCGTGCATCTTTCTTGCTATGTTTGTTCATGCCATATTCTATAGTTTTGGCTGTCTGAATTTTTTTATACAGCGTTTGAGATTTACCCGTGATCTTTGCATGTTTAATACATTAAGTGCTTTGTATAGTTACATTATATGAATCCAACAGTTAATTTATTCGTTGTCCTACTGATAAGGTTGTTCACAATTTCTTAAGTTGTGCGCTAGTGAATATCCTTACATTTCCTTGTATGTATACGAGACTTAGTGTGGCATATGCCTAGAGAAAATTTTGGATTGAGGGGAATGTACCTCTTTGAGATTACTAAATATTGCCAAATTGCCTTCTCAGATTGGTTGTGTAAGTTTATTTCCCTACTAGAATGCATATAATACCTACTTCTCCAAATTCTTTCCAGGTCTTAGCCTGACCTTTATTCTTAACAAGAATTGAAATTATTATTACTGTGTTTATAATCTTTGCTTATTTAAAAATTTTTCTTAATTTGGATACCGATTATTGGTTATATGGGATGTATTTTCTCTCTGTGGTATACTTTTTACCTTTGTATGTAATCTATTTTGTCAGTCAGAAGTTTAACTTTCAGTGTTGTCCCAAGTCTTGTCCTTGTGATTTCTGCTTTTTGTGTCTTGAATGGGAAAACCTTTCATAACTTGTTCTGAGAAGATAATTTCCTATCATTCTTAAAGTTAATATTTTTTTCATATTTTTAATTTACACTTGCCTATTTCATATATGCACCTAGAATTTGGATGTGTCTTCATTTGTTTAGATCTGGGGGTAATTTCAGTTTTTCTTTCATATTTGCTATTAAAATGTTTCAAAATACATTATTTACTTATTTTAGAGTCTAGCAGCACATCATAAACATTTTAGTAATAATACTACCAGTGGTATGATCTCTTGAGTCTTAGAGATGATGAGAGTATTGGCAATATTAATGTTTTAAAAGTAAGCAATATCAGACTACTTTGCTGTGTATGACCTTTTTGCATTGATTTGTTGGAAATAATTCTGCTTGTGAGAATTATTTTTTCTTAACAGCTTTTTAACAGTGGTTCTTAAGCAAAATAAATGCAGTCTAGCAGCAAACTTATATTTAAGAGATTGTACATGGGTTCCAGATAATTTATTAAAAAAATAATCCTTGTCTGTTTTTGTACATTTATTTCCTCTTTGGATTCAATGTTTCTGGACTTTAAACTTGGAAGATCTTTATTTTCCTTTCTTTTTGTGAAATAATAGGCATGGCTTTGTGGCATCCATATTAAAAATGGGTAATTTTCCTTATGGTCCCTGTCTTCCTGCTGGGTTGATAATGTTTTGATGTATTTTTCTTTTGCTCTGATGAGAGGTCTGCTGCTGCTGCTCTGACATATTCATTTGGATGAATAATTATAACTTGCACAATGTCAAGCTGAAGATGGTAGGGTTTTGTGCGTCATGACAAGCCTAGTAGCCAGTGCAGGTGTCTCACAGCATGATCAGCAACAGCCAGTGTATTCTGGCTCAGAGGAGACATTTAGAGTAGTAAGAAATCAGCACCAAGGGCAAGGCTGCTGCTACTACTGCTGCGGTGATCTGTGCCAAAGAAACACAAAGTGCTTCTCAAAGACGAGTGACTGCATACCTCTTTTCAGATATTTACTTTGCTTACCCCGTAAATTTTCTTTTACGGATTTGGCATAGAATATAAGAACATCTCATTTTTATCTTAATCTACTTTCTAGCATCACAGATGCTCCATGTATCTTTAATAGCCTGCTACCTTTTGGACTTTTACATACAGGTCATATATGTGAATTTTGTTGACTAATGAGTCCATAGAATGCTCTAATGTAAGATTTTAAGTGCATTGATATTGGGGTCTATAAGAACAAAATTCATTTTCTCTAGGTCACTGACCAACCCAAAATAGGTGTTAATCTTCGTGATGCAATCTGTTAAGTGTCCAACTCTTGGCTTCGGCTCAGGTCATCATATCAGGGTCTTGGGATAGAGCCCCATGTCAGGCTCTGTACTCAGCTCGGAGTCTGCTTAGGACTTATTCTCCCTCTGCCCCCCTCCACGTGTGTGTGTGCGCACGCGCGCGCTCCTGCGTGCACTCTTTCTCAAATAAATAAACAAATCTTTAGGGAAAAAAATGGTAGTTCTGCCTATAAATGTGCCATTAAGTGCAGGCTTGGTGAAGTATCCTTGCCATGGCAGTTGGAATTTTCAGATTTGGTAGGATACAATAAGCAGTGGTCTTTATATTTTTTATCATGGAAATCTCATATTCTTAGAATAAGTCCATGAAATGCAAGAATAGCAAAACTAATGATGAAGCCTCTGGCTGATAAGCTGATGGTGAATGAAGAATTTGTAATTAAAGGAAACAGTCCTATTACATAGCAGGGAGCATGATCCATTAGTTAGAGCAGCAGACTAGCAGTTGGGTAGCTTAGGTTCTGTTTACAGTTCAGTCATTGCCTTAATTGTATAATTCAAACAAGTCCTGTGTCTGCCCTTTGCTTCAGTTCATATTATATGGAAATAATGAACTTTTTCACAGAGATGTTAAGAAAAATAAGCTTGATTTAAAATAAACTGTGTCTGGGGCGCCTGGGTGGCTCAGTGGGTTAAAGCCTCTCCCTTTAGCTCAGGTCATGATTCCAGGGTTCTGGGATCGAGCCCCACATTGGGCTCTCTGCTCAGTAGGGAGCCTGCTTCCTCCTCTCTCTCTGCCTGCCTTTCTGCCTGCTTGTAATCTCTATCAAATAAATAAATAAAATCTTAAAAAAAAAATAAAATAAATTGTGTCAGGGGAAGAACCGTCAAAATCCACTCTAATGGTCCTGTGGAACTTCTCCTTTTTTGCTATTAGATTATCGTTCTTTCCATTTTTCCTCTTTGCTGCCTTTGTTGGAGAACTCCTAGTACTGGATT